AAGCTATTATACGAGAGTGTAGGTTTACCCAGTGCACCTATATGGTTGGCTGCGGGTTCCTGCATTATCAACAAAAAAAAAAAAAAAAATGATACACATAGACACATACAATATCAAATTCAGTAGAATCTTTTTGATTATGTAGAATATTCTCTAATTTGTACCCATGTTACCCATTCGAGCTCCACGTTAAAACTAGACGATCAAAAGATGTTTGTAGTGCATTAGAACCCGCATTTTTGCAAAAAAAAAAAAAAAAAAAAAAATACAAACTATTTTGTTGAATTTAATACCACAATTGAGAGGGGATTTTCGTAGACCTTACATTAGGGGTGACCTTAATTTACTATACAATTTAAAAATAAAATCAAATATTAGTAAATTCAAGAAATAAATATTATCTTGTGTATTTGGATGGATATAGATTCATTTTAGTGTGCATGATGAGGTGGAGGAAGAGTTTGAGTTGGACACGCTTTCTTCTTAGTTTGATTTGTATAATTTTTAGAGAGCGGCTAAAATAAATACCGTTTTTTTCTCGCTTCAATACAATCAACATAAAAAAATAAAAAATATATAGATAATAAGTAGATAATGACATTATTACCCTTAATGAAAATCAATAGCACACACAATTTGTGTGGTATAGATTTTATGAAGGGTATTAATGTTTTTACCTATTTATTTTATAATTTTAATATTGGTGGTATTGAAGTAAGAAAGAAACGGTATTTATTTTAGCCATAACCTAATTAAAAATAAATCAAAATTTTCAGGAAAAAAAAAATTGGAATCTCATATATAATCTAACTCCAATCCAAAATGATTCCCGAAAATCGAAAATTAAAAAATCCAAAGTTGGAATGTAAAATATTTTTCCAAAATCAAAAAATTTCGGATCGAAATCGGCGAAAATCAGAAACTCCATTCCAATTTCCACCCATACGAATTCTTGAAAAATAAAAAATAAAAATAAAATCCCATATAAGTTAGGTGAAGTGCGTTGCCTTGATTCCCACTAAGTTGAAAAAGAGAGTGCAAAATTAATAATTATCAACACTATAAACTTAGCTAAGTGGTGCCTCCAAATTCAAAGAAAAGAAGAAGAAGAAGAAATAAAATGGAAATAAATCCCACCAACTTTCTTCTTCTTCTTCTCCAAATACTCTTCTTAATCCTTACCAGTGAAACCGCCACCGCGTTCAATCATACATCTTCGTCGTGTAAAGATGGTACGATAGCAGAATGCAATTACGAAGAATTGGAGACGACGATGATGATGATGTCGTCCGATGTCAGCAGAAGGTTTCTCGAACAGAAGAAATATATCTCGACGGGGGCCCTCAAGAAAGACCAGCCCGTCTGCAGCGGCGGTGCGGCGGGCAAGCCTTACTCTGGCGGCGGCGGCGGCTGTGTTCCTCAGCCGTCTAATACTTACAACAGGGGTTGCTCCACGTACTATCGTTGTCGGGACGATGCTTGATCGTTATTTAAATAATATTTATGTATTTTTTTGTGATTGGTTTCACAATCTAGTGTGTTGTTCAATAATTACGACAATTTATTGTTATAAACTTACAATTATAAAATATGGAAGCGATTGATGAGTTGATAAAATTTCGAGAATATTTTTGCACGAATATAAAAAAAAAATCCTTTAACAAACTTGATCGTAATAATGAATTATATCAAAGGCATAATATATTAAAACTTATTTATTTGATATGAAGCTTCCATACCTCTCGAACATTGGACGAACCGTCTGTAACCTCCGCAACCAGCGAAGAGGCCATAGTGCCTGAGGAAATTTCCGTTTTTTAAAACTGTGATTATTTTATTTTATTTTTAAATTTTTTTGATTGTTAATGAAAGATAATCGTGTTTACTTGTTGACGAAGCGTAATTACACATAAATCAAAAGATAATTCGGCTCACCGTCTTTTTCGACAAGAGAGAGAAAACGCCTAGATCCACCTCCGACCCCAAAATAGTGCTTCTTTGCTGCCATGTACACAACTCCATTGGGAATACTAATGCACTGATCACAAGAACCGAAAAATAATTCAGATACAAAGAAAAAAAATCGAGAGGAAAAAAAAATTAAAAAAAAAATATGAAAACAAAATCAAGAACCTTCTTAATAAGTTTGTAGAGATTTGGCAGTGTAGAAATCGAGTAAACTGTCTCCGCCATAAGTATGACATCATAACCACAACATTTGGCTTCATCTTCTTCACTGGTAGATGCGGGAGAGAGAAGCTGATGTACTTCGCCCCAGTCACCGGAGAAGAATCGAGTCTCGGTTTTAGTGGGGCCCACTTCCGCATGTGGGGCCGCCAAATGCTCGGTATTCTTTTCGATATTAGCAGTAACGTTGGGAATAGTGAGGCATTGAAGGACTTCCGCATTGAAATCCTGGAAATGTACAGCTGCTGCACCCTGATTCCCAAAAGAAAAAAAACGAACGATTAAATAAATGAAATTATTAAAAAATAAAAATAGGAAAATACGAATTTATTATACCTTTAGGCAAGCGAATATACCAGGAAGTCCATGACCACATCCGAGCTGAAAAATCGAAGGGTCTCGTCAGCAAGAAAGGGAGCACTAATGCGGCAAAACAAATATACCTAAACCTTGGTTGTCTTTATTCAGCCGAAAGATTTTATTCACAGTTTCTTTTTTCGAAAATAGTGAATTGTTTAAATTCGTAACAGCGGTAACATAGAGCTGCTGCTGCCACAGTCGGAAGTGTAAATCAAGAAGCAAAAAAACTATTTGCTTTAAAGAAAATTGTGAAAACAGATCGACTGAAAACAGGGAAAGGCCTAAAAGAATGCATTCCAGTGACACGTGCATAGCAAGGTTACTGAATCACCTGAGAATTAAGGCCCCACCTCTAGAACTCGTTTTCCGGTGAACGACAATTTCCCGTCTTGCATCTCAGAGCTAAGTGCTGCAATAAGATCGAACGACCCCTCCCATAATTTCAATCCTCCTGCATATCAAATTTCCAATAAAGTATTTTTAGAAAAAAAAAAAAAAAAGAATGCTCATTTCATACAGGGGAATGCACTTATAGAAAATAGAAAAATATACGAACGGACCTTCGTATTTGCCGGGTACTAAATCGGAATTGGCTAGTGAAAATACCTCCTCGGTGCTGACCCTCCCCTACAATATTTAGTTCAACAATTGCTACATATATTAATCAAATGAAACTAAATCATTACTGAGTTGAACACTACCTCCTAATCTCCTTCCAACTAAATTACCAATTAATATAAATCTTTAATCCCCAAATTTCGATAATAATAATAATAAATATAACCAAATTGAAATTTCTGCCACTAATTGTAGATTTAAAAAAAAAAAATTACCCACCTTGAATAGTGTGAGCCCACCGACGTTCACAGGCTCCACGGTATACTGCGCATTTGGCGAAACCTGCATTTCAAATTGCAAACAATTAGTAAATCCTTCACCAAAATTAACAAAAAGAAATATATTAATTCAGTTGATGTATATAAAAGTTACCTCTGAGGAGAGAACTTCATAGCAAGGCGGGGGCGGCGGGGGCGGGAGGGGTTTATCATCAGGGAAGTCAAGAAACCCTAATCCAGAAGAGGGTTTTTCATCAAACAGACGAAAGATTGCTTCTTTTTGTTTCGACTCCATTGGTGCTCACTTGTGTTTCTCTCTTGTTTCAGGGTTTAGTTTTGGAGTATTCATTCATTCAGTAACAGAGAAGAAATACATTGGGGTGGAAAAAGAAAAAGAAAAAGATGGGCCTTTGTGAACTGGGTTCCATCAAAATGAGGCCCATGAATATTAATTCTAGTTTTATTTAATTTAAAATATTTATAGCAAAAATTCGGCATTATAAAATGTTTTGATTTTTGTCAGTTAATTTACTCATCCTAAGCCGTGTTTGGCCCCTTTTGGGTTTATATATCTAATTTGTTTTTGGGAAAAGGTGTTTTGCATAAGTTACACTAATAAGTTGTAACTATTTGATCGATGGGGAATTAGATGTTATACCTGATTAATTACACCGGGTGAATTTAATAAAACAATTACCTAATAAGCATATATATATACATGAGTGTATGTAATTATGTGTAAATCTACAATTCAAATCAACTCAGTATAAATAAAATGGTGTACCATCTTGAGTACAACGCTTCCATGGAGAAAACCCAAAAAGTGAAAAAACTAATAATAATAACAGTAGAAAGGAAAAAAAACTATATATATTAAAAGCAACTGAGAATTGTCTTATATTACAAATTAACGCACAAACTGGTCTTGGGAGGGGTTATAACTTATAAACATCACCAAATGTCAAAATCTGGCAGAACCGTCATAAAGACAACGACGAAGCAAATCCGAATTTCGATACACATAGGTGCCGATTATATTAAAAGATACTACAAATCCAGAAAGAAATATAAACCTAGAGAACTGGCAAAGTTTCTCTCATAGAGTAAGATGTTCCATACCTTTCGTATTTCTTGCTATTCCTTTCACCGATCTCCTCTCTTCTTGTTCTTCGTAAGGTTTCGCCCTAAAACCAGAGCTGCCCTCTTCTGTATCAGAGCAGCCAGGTCTTTCGGTTAAAAACTGTTCCCAAAACACATCATTCACTCGATTCTGCCCGTTTGAACCCCCTTGCTTGCTGTTATTCACATCATGCGAAGAAGCTACAGTTTGAGTGTGAACAACTTCATTATCTGACCGTGTACAGATCTCTCGATTTTTGTCCAGTTCCAAGGGAGAAGAAGAAGATGCGAGAGTAAGATTTAAGAGACACGAAAGATGAACGTCGCCCTCGTCCTGCAATGATTGGCGCTTCGGGCTTTCGGGCCCCAATTTGAAAGAAGCTCCAGTATCTGAAAGCTCCAAAGTTTCGGGCGGGCATAAAAAGCCTGAAGAAGTTCTTACATGCACATCTTTTGACAGTCCCTCGTTTGAGCTTTGTGTGCTGTGAGAAAGTAAGTTAACATCCGAAACAGCTGTGGATAACTCCAGCCTTAGCTCGTTGCATAAATCTTGGTCACATATACTCCCTAATTGATCGTCTAATAAAAGATTGTCCTGAATTGATTGGACATGATCTGATTGAGGGAGCCTCCTCTTTTTGTTATACACTGAAAAGTCCATTGATTCAAGCTTCTGAGTTAGGCGATCGACAAAGTCGGGATTTTGAACTGCTTTCTCGAGGAAGCTTAACAATTTCTCCTGCCTCTGCTCCATGCTAACTATACGAGGTGTTAGAGTTTCCAACTGTGACTTAGCTGCAGACTGCTGCTCCTTGTATCCCGATAACTTTCCTTCGAGAACGGACTTGTCACGTGATAGCTTATCAATTTCTTCCTCGAATGATGCTCTTTCTGAATCAACTGAACCTTGAGGCTGACTGTGGCTGTGGATAGGCTTTCTGCGATGAATATTCTTCAGAAGATGTTTTTGATCTTTCGTAAAATCTTCATTTGCAAATTCCCATTTTTCTGGATCGATTTTCCTAAAACCCTACATCAAACAAGTGCGTATAACAGTTTAGGAAACATCAAACAGGACAACAGGACTGTGTCATTCAAGTAACTGAGAAACGTAAGCATATACGAGTTTAGCGAACAATCACAACAATCAAATGCATGACATTTATCAATGCATTACCTACCCCCTACCGCCACCCCCGAGTGCTAATAGATTCAAGACATAGCACGTGTTAAGTATTGAGTCACAGACTACGCGGAAGTTCACTAAAACATGAAAGAATAACATCTGAAATGATTATGACAGTTAGTACTTGTTGTTCAGGCATGATAGCTGGTTATTAATGCATACACAATCGGAGGTGGGATTGCAAAGTTTACAAGTGTACAGCATAAGCAGAGAAAAATTACATTTTCAAAATTAACGAAATATATGTTTTTCCATACAAACTGAATTCGTACAGTTTAACGAAATTATAAAACAAAATTATGTATAAAGTGCCCATATCCATAACATAATTATCATACTTAAGTGAAGGAACAGAGATCAGCCTTTACCAATAACAACACCCAAATAACAAACACCACACACTTGAATCATATAAACATTTTCAAGTTAATTAACTAAAGAATTATCAACCCTAATTAAAAAAAATCACGCTACAGTGAACTGTATACAGATAAATAAATCCGTTAATCAACAATCCAATTGAGGGAGAAACATACATATGTGTTGAGCTGTCGAATGAAGCTGGAGAAATTGTTGTGTTTGAAGTAAGAAGGGAGGAGGACGCGGGCGAATTCCGGCGGGTTCCACACCACAAAGCTCTTCCTGCTCGCGCTCCACGATACGATGGCGTCCGTCGCCGTGTCATCCACCATCTCGTACGTCTTCAAGAGGAACGGCGCCGGACCACCTCCGCCGCCGCCGCCGCCGGGAGCTCCTCCGTCCATTCAGACGCAATAATTGGGGGATCGGGGTTTGGTGGTTGAATTTTGCGTTGACCGGTTTGGCGTTGGTAATACATAAGATGATAAGAGTGATTTCGTCGTTATTTACTAATTTATCTTTATATATAAAAGAAAGGTTTTCCCCGAAACCCTAGACCTATTTTGGTGAAATATTTGTTGACCTAGGGTTATTTTTGTCAGTTTATTTTGAAAATCATTATTATTATTTTCATCTTTTATTTTTTTTCTCAACGGTTTTTACTCTTTAGATATTGCATAAGCCCCACGACAAGAGAAACATTCACACGATCGTGTAAAAGCCGCCTATTCCCATTCTCATTCTTCCACAATTTTCGCCGCCACCTTTTCTTTCATTTTTTTTTCCAAAAGCTTCAACAACCGTTTTGGTTTAAGTAAATCGTATATAGTTCAATTTGTTCCATAACCTCTCAGTTGATCTCACGTTCTAACAACTCCCAATAACTACCCCGTTTCCACTCTTCTCTGCTCTCTTTATATTTCTTGATTTCTTGCCACTATCATTGTTATCTGCAGTTTTATTCACAGATTATATTATGAGATTTTGTTTTGAACTTTTTTTCTTTTTAATTCTTTCGGCTTTTCTGGGCTCTGAAACCGAGTAATATAGTGGCATAAGACACAACCACTATAGCAGAGTGGCAAGTTTCGAGACCAACTGAACTATATATATACGACTATAGCCGTTTTGGTTTGGTAATCATCCTTATTATGTGCTTTAATACACGCTCTTGGGATAGATTATCAGCACAGTGTAATGGCAATGTTATTTGATTTTATTCCAGTTATTGCATTTTTTCTGTTTCTTTCTTTCACGCTATATAATTCGTGAGAGTTGAACAAATAATTGTTGTATGCCTATGTTCTTGCATGTTTTTTTTCTTACCTTTTAATCTTATTGTTTTGATTTGTTACTTTCACCCTTAAGATTTAGGATTCACTAACTTAATCAATGGTGTGTTTGTTGTTGGTAGAAAATTTGTGCCCAGTTCCTCGGTAGGTGCAACAGATCCCCAATGTTCCGTATTCTCAATCCCTTTACAACCAATTTTTTGTACAATCAAACAACAACAGCGGCTCCAGAAACAATTTCCGAGATGGTATAACATGAGGTATTGATGAGGGTAGAAAATAGCATGCCTTCTTAGCATTTAATTGAAATTTTTGTTTCACATGTTCTAAATATTCTAATAAGAAGAGTCTCCTGCTTTTTTTGCTCTGTATATATTATTATGAGAATTGGCTAGCTACCTGAGGTTCCGTTTCTCTTTCTTTCATTTTACGCGTACTATTGATTGAATAACATTAAAAGTATTTGCAGTTATGCTTCCCGAATTTGAATAATGAGATGCTGATAACAGAACTTAGTTGTTTTTGGTTATTCTAGGATGAAGATGAATGGCGAAGAGTTGAGAAACATGATTAGTAGAACCTTAACTTGCATATATAATTGATCGAATGAAGATGAATGGGGAAGACTTATTTTTGGCTATTTCAATAGAATTTATTTTACAGTGATGGAGTTTATTTCTTTTATATATTTGTGGCTATTTTTCAGATAAAACTGTGACTAGGAAATGTCGGAGTTCTAAAGAGATATTTTTACCGTTCACATTAATGTAAAGGATCACTTTTCAAAGTTTGGAATGCTAACTAAAAGAAAAAAGAGGTGATGGGTGCTTTCTATCATTCCAAATCGAATAATTTTCTAGGGTATCATTCATGCACCTGCTTTCAACGAACCTTTTTTTTTTCTTCTGTTTTTTCTCTTTTCTGATTATGTCAAATATTATTACCAAATTCACAAACTATTTTTTTCTACTTGATTTAACTATTTTGTGTTTAGTTGATGTAAACTTTTTTCTCCTGCATATGCACTCTTTACATATGGTCTCCCTCCATCTGCTATATTTATTTTAATTATATAACATGAGTTTTTTTATGCTGCTACGCTACTTATTTAATGTATTTCAGTATACATTTTATGCATAATGATTGGACATTCGGTATTTTGTGGAGGATAAAATATGAAATGATCATATTATTCTTATACGAATCTGGTGTTCTTTGGTTTTAAAAATATAACGAGTCTTTATAATTTGAATAGTGCCTCGAGAGATTGTTGTCACTTCTTGAAATAGGCATGTTTTCTTTGTTTGAATCAGTTTGCTTTATTCAATTTGCGCTTTCTTAACAGGTCGTTGAGCGGTTTCTGTTCTTCTTTGAACATGCTGAGACGATGTCTGAATTTCAAGTAGAGAGAAACTTGCAAATAAAGTTGATATCTACATGAAGGTAAATCAAATATTCTTTGAACAGGAATCGACGGAGTTTTTGCGATTTTTTCTTCTTTGGATTTTTGAACGAAAAGGACGGAGTTTTTTACATAAATTGAGTTTTCTTAAATTAGTTAATACAATAATGGAGTTTATTTTACTGCTTATCCATGCTTTTTGCTGACTTGGGTTTTGTCACTATGATTACTTATTTTACTGCATATGCATGAAACTGAGTTAGTTTTCTTTATTATTATTTTTTTCTTCTTTTGATTATTCTACAAATATGTAAAATATTTCTTTGGAGGACCGTTAAATATATATATGCATGAATGGAGAGCGTGATATTTGCATGCAGTGGAGGAACATTTTCTTTGTGATCGAGTGTTCAATTAACTTCATGCTTGACAACAATAATTTAGACTTCCTTAGTTTTTTTCTTTTTTTTTTTCTTTTTTTTGCTTTTTTCGTCTTTGCGTTGCAAGTTTGTTTTTTCATATAATAAAAAAAAATACAGAAGTGTAATTCTAGAAACGGAACTGTAGCTTCAAATGAAGAAAATTAAAAAATAATAAATAATTAATGTATTGCCTGGATTATTTGATGAACATAAAGTTAATATGTGGTATCGATTTAGCTGCAATTTCGAATTTTCTCCTTTTTTTTTTTATAATCTTTTTACCCTTTTTTTTTTCTTTTTTTTGCTCGGATACGCCATCTCCAGCTCCGCTCTCCAAAGCTAAACCTCTGAATGTTGATTTGTTAGAAACGGATAATAACGACAAACCCTTTCATGAAAAGCACATGAAATAAAATCAGAGCTGTAAAGAAATGTTGTGTTCAAATTTCTCTACTTTTGGGCGAAAAATTTAGGAGATATTATTTTTATAAATTAAGACAGTGAATTGGTCCGATTATCTTAGATTGAAATTGTAATGTCACGGAGAGGAAAGTCATTTTTTCCAAATATATATATGTATGTATATTAAATTTTATTGCGAAAAATATTAAGTATGATTGCAATTAGTCGATTTTTACGTCGTTGTTCTATTGTTTCGTATTCTACAGATCATATATGTTTATTGATTTTGCTTAAATTATATTTTTTCAATAATTGCCCGTGCAACGCACGGGGCAAAGTACTAGTATGATTAAAATAATGCTGGTGGATTACACGTTTGCAAATTGTTTTTTTTTTTTTTTTTTGATAAATTGCAAAAACATTTTAAAGCACCAAAAATAATACGTAATTAACAAAGATAAATAATCTATATATTTTAATAATACATTTCTCAATTCCAGTTAAATTAATAAATAAAATAAAATAAAATTGAAATAAATAATAAAAATAATAAAATAATAATAATAATACATTTGCATGTTCTTATTAATAATTCTATAGAAATTATTATTATGTCTACCCATGAGGTATGGCCATAATTTGCCCAAAATTAAATGCACATTGGATTTAAATTATTTTAATAATTCTTTCGATATTTAAGGTTTATTAAAAGATTCTATATCGAAAATGGTAAAAGTTGAATCGAATCGTAAAATTAGAATCAAACCATACCAACTACGAAACAAATTCGATCCAACTAATCAATCGAAGTTTTAGATTTTGGGTTCAGATAAGCAAAACATACTTTTGTTTTCTTTTTGAAAAGATCGACGTGATCGACTTCTACGTTTAGGCGCCTTTAGAATAATGCCGGGCTTATATGAAACCATGTTACTCTAGCTCAATTCGTGCGCTGCTCGATAAAATCACGTTCGAGCCAAATTCAATTGCTATTAAAACATATTAAAACAAATTTGAACAACGTTGAAAAAACTCAACAAAAAATCAAAACAAATTCGAACAATCATTTGTTCGACTTCTACGTACCTTTCTTGTTCGACTCGTGTATTTTTTTTTCGAGCTGAACTAGCTCATCGACACAAGAGGGAATATTTGGCATTATGATATTATTACACAAACTATTCATTACATATAAACTTACCGTGATAATAAAAATAAAATCGAATCAAATAAGCAAAACCGATGCACCAGAGACACCGAGGAAGAACACACCTAGAAGCAACAAGAAAACAAAAGGGAGAGTATTATGGGTAAAACATTTAATTGCAAAACTAAAAAAAAAAAAAACTCGTAAATTTATCAATTCAGGTAAGAAAAGTTTCGAGCAAAACTGGTATGAAAATCGAACTTTTACATAGCAAGCAAATCTTTTGTCATCTGATGAATTCGACAATCTTATTTTCCGCCAGAAACCCGAGCTGGGAAGAGCAGAGTATTCAGATATGGAACAAATGCACCCCACATTTCATCTCTCTCTTCAACTTCTTCGATCGTCTTCTCACGAGGGTCATAGTAGAGATATTTTTTCTGATCTATTTTAATGACAATCTTATTTTCCACAAAGTCTAGTAGTTGAAACCACACAGTCGGAGCATCCACAACGTTCTCGATAACTACAAACTCCTTCCAATTAGGATTCTCCAAAACGCCATTTTCCTTTATCAAGAATCGAATTCTCGTCCTATCATCGATCGTGTTGAAGTACAAACACAGGCTGTTGTCTCTCAAAGAAGCCACTTTCATAATTACTTCATCATTGCCGCCAATTAGCTCTTTGGGCTTCTGCAACCTCTTCAGCTCGTCGGTTCTTGGATCGAAATACACTAATTGTATAATCCAGTTATTATCCAATTCACCCAAAACCCAATAAATAGCTCCATCAGCGAAGACTCCCCAGCCCACCATGCAAAAATAGAATTGACCGATTCCTTTTTTCTCCGTCCAAGAATTGTTCTTACACGAGTAAATTCTGTAACTCTCTTTGGCAATCATAACAGCCTTGAAATCATCCGTTATCGGATCGTAACAAATCCCATGAGTCACTGGTTTAAATTGATCACGTATGTATGGGGACGAAAAATGGGCCTGCCTTCGAGTGGATGGATTCCAGAAAGCATATTCCTTACGCGCGTGCAGATTTTCGTTCAAGAGTAGCACACCGTTACACTCGCCTAAGACTTGATTGAACGACCCGTAGTGGACCTTCAACACTGCTTCATTGTGGATTCTTCCACCTTCGAGTTTAACCAAAGAAAACCCTCTGCCGCTACTATTTCTATACATACGTAGGAAAAGATAATTCGAAGATTTGGAGGATTGCAGATGAATTTCGGCGAATAAGGGATCGGAGATCATAGTATTCCATGACTTGCAAACTGTTTTAAATCGAAGCAGAGACTTAACTGACGATAATTTTGACAGGATAATTTCGACGATCTCCGGTGGAAGACTTGATGTTGTTTTTTCTTGTGTTGCCATGTCCTTTTTTCCCAACGCGTGTTCGTTTTAGGCTGCTAGAATACAAGGAAGAAAAGAAACAATCTCTCTTAGTCAATTTATCAAACACATGGCATGCATGCAACTGATTCTTCAGAAATCTCATATAACAACTGTACTAAGTACTAACCTTGAAATCCAACAACAGCAGCCACAAACAAACAAACAAATAAACACACACACACAAGAGAGAGAGAGAGAGAGAGAGAGAGAGAGAGAGAGAGAGAGAGAGAGGGGGGAGAGAGAGAGAGAGAGAGAGAATTAGGTTTAAATTAGGTCTCTAATTGTCCAATTCCAGAATAGATCTAGTGCTAGCAAAATTAGTTAAATTAATTTAATTTGACTAACCTTGAAATAGGTTAATTTAAACAATTTAACTAATTCAAATTAATTCAACTAATTTAACTTAACTAAATTAATTTTAAATAGGCCCTTATTGAATTAAATTAATCGCTGGGATCAAACAAAATTAGTAAGGCCGAATTTATTTAAAGGAAATAAATATGATACAAATTATGCTAAAAAACGAAGCCTCAAAGATCATATATACCCGTGATTGGATGGAAATCGGATGGAACGAATCAAAATTATAGTTTAAAAAGGAAAAATAACATATTTTGTTTTTCTAAAGTGGAACCCTAATTTCAATTCAGTTCCACAACAAAGAAAATTGAATATCTCAAAAATTGGAATGAAAAAACTTGTTCATAATCGGATTTCTTATTGAGAATCAATAAGTAATTTGAAAAGAAAGAGGTTTGAATTTTCAGAAATTAAAATTAGATTGGAAAACGAAAATTAGTATGTATTCCGATTATGTTTCAAAAAAATCAGAAGTAAAAACTTCCATAATGCAATTATTATATTATTAGAAATTGTCGAAATCATAATCGATAGAACTCGAAATTTATATTCCAATTTTTACCCCTACCAATGGGTTATGTAAATATATGCACCAGAAACTAAAGTGTTATCGCGACGTATTCATTTCAACGCGCGTGAGAGGGCATGTACAATTAATTTAGTTTGAGCAACTTAAATCGCGATAAGTGTAATTATACATTTTACAGATTTAATTCAAGTACATAGTTAATTGGTATTGAATATGATGTGGGATCACTCGAAATGAGTAGCTCAGCCGGAGAATTGATCAAGAATTTAGTTAACCGACGATTACACTCTGACGCTTACATCAGGTGATGTCGGCTTGTTAATAATTACTATAAGAATCAATTCCTTTGCATAGCGGGGCGATCAGTTGCAGAATAGTCGAGAGTCGAAACCAAACAAAGAAAACTACGAACCACGATAGCGGAAGATGCAAATACTACAAGGAGAGTCGTTCTTTCGCGTGGAGAAATTGCAACTGCAGTTTATGTGATGAAACACGTATAGTACGAAGAAACGAACATGTACTAAAAAACAATCACCAGCTGAATACTACGCTCAATTCAACATTCGATACGTAGTTTCTTTCAAGATTCGTAAATATTTAAAGCAAACGACCGTTTATCGTCTAAACCAAACTGTTCATCGTCTAAACCAAACGTGCAAAAAAGCAATCCAATTGAAATAAGCAACTGAGAAGAACAATATAGAGAAGCAAGTAATCGAGATTTTCGCGATAACAACAATCACGAAAAAATGTAGAAATCGCCCCTAATCCAATTTCACAACTAATCCATTTAAAGGGTGCAGCAGCCATTCTTGAATCAGACAATAAATAGCCTTCCATACTATTTCTGGAGCAACAAATCTCCAGAACAACAATCAATTAATTAAAAAAAAAATCAGGATTACATTTTATATTATCAAAAAAATTCTGTCAATGAATCAAATTTATATTAAAAAGAAAAACATAATTACGCATCACACAAAAAAAAAAATTAAAAAAAAATCAAAACTTTACAGATCTCCAGAACAATTAATTAATTAATTAATTAATTAAAAAAACTCAGGATTACATTTTATATTATAACAAAAATTCTGTTAAAGGAATCAAATTTCATATTACAATTTATATTAATAAAGAAAAAAACATAATTATGCATCACACAAAATATACAAAAAAAAATTAAAAATCAAAACTTTACCAGAGATTTTCTTGAAACTCAATAATCAATCTCCTCTGGCACACCGTGTAATAATCTCACAACCTCTGCTGTAAGAATTAGCAACACCAGGTCCTTTACAGTTGTAATACGAAGCTCCTGGCCTATCACACGGCACCAAATCTCTTCTCAATGTATCGTAGCTGATGTAACTCTTCTGCATCAGCAGAACCCTCTTGTTGCTCTCGGAATCCACCATTGTTTCCTCCTCCTCCGCCGCCGCCATTGTTGAGCACTGCCCAAGCTTCTTCCCGCCGCAAACCCTCTTCGCCATTGCGTCAAAATCGGCCGATCTCGCCGAGTTGAGGTCGAAAACGGAGAACCCACCACCGATTTCGAGAAATAAGACGACCCAAATCAAGAAAAGGGTGAGTAAATGATGGGCCTGCATTTTTTTTTGCGGGTCAAGATTTTCGCCACTTTGTGGTGTGTGTTTGTGTGTGAAAATGGTGGGGAAGTTAGAGAGAGAGAGAGAGAGAGGGGGGGGGGGAGTTTGGGTGATGGGTCATTAAATGAGAATTTACACACACACACCTACTGTGCTGCGCATGAGAGTGCTGTAGACCCACCACCATTTTTCAAGAAAAAGTAGAAAAAATGGAGATTTATTGGGGGGTGGTGATTAGACTTTTTCAAAGATTTTTCCCACAAATGAAATTAAAATTATAAAAAAAATTAAAAAGAAAATAAGAAGAAAGTGGACCAGGGTTCACTTTTTTGTTTGGTTTACCGGAAGTAGGTAAAAAGATGGGTGGCGGTGGTGTAATGGGGAAACTGAGGGTGGTCCGGATCCGGGTCCGGGTCATAACATGCGGGTCAAAAAGATACGCAAACTCAACATCATCAAATCATACCACTTTCGTTAGGCTAAAATATTGGAAAATATTGTTCATGAATGAAAGAATTTATGGTCCCGAATTCGTATTATACAGAGATGTTATCTAAAGTGTTATGACACTTGAGACAACATGCAGCGGAAATATAAAGATTGAAAGACAATGCTCAGAGTTAAAAATGTTCACAAGTAAAGACTTGTGAACTTGTCCTTTACAGGACGGAAAAATATATTAAAAACAGTATTCTAAGAATACAAACAGAAGAGTGCGAAAACTTCTTCCTTATGAGTAAATCTTTTTCAAGATCACTCTTACAACCAAATCTAGATACTAAAAGAAAAATATTAAAAATTCTAGATTTCAAAGAATGTACTCATAAAGAGTACGTACAACAGATCCTAGAAAACACACTAAAATTCTCGAGATTAAAACTTCAGCTCTATTTTTGTTTCCTCGAAATCTGTCCCAATCTTGAGTCTTGAGTTGGGTATTTATAGACTTGCCAAGCTTCCACTTCTCAGCCCATGATCTGCAAGAAAACCAACCACAAGAGCACTCAAGATAATGGGTTAGTGGGTTAGTTTGGAAGTTAAGATAAATTCCATAATTAAATCCACTAAGCATTACTTAACCCCACTTAGCCCACTAACTAAGATTTAGTTTAAAGTTAAGAAAAGTTAAAAACACATTGTGAAATTAATTCACGTGTTTCAAACTCCCCCTTTTTAACTTTCTGATCAAAACTAAATCGTAGTCAAAGACTCCCCCTGAGATATTACTTGAACTCCCCCTGAATTTGATACCATTTGAAAAACATAGAAACAATAAATTAAAACCAAATTCAGCAAGATAGTCCAACAAAATAAATAATCAAAGTGCAGTCCTAAACAAAAGTTCAGAGGGAAAATAAACAAAACACAAACAAAAAATATTGTTCATGAAAACAATCTAAAGTAAAATATCCAAAGTCTCCAAGGTCTCCTCAGTTTCAGCTGCTGCTCCTCCTCCATCACTAGATCCACTGCTTTCTTCTTGAGCTTCCCCCTCTTTCTTTGCTTCCTCTTCATTGACTCCTTGCTCTCTGCCTCTAGCATCCAAAGGATGAGATGTTCCTGCTTCAGTTTCATGATCTTTTTCTCCCCCTTTTTGATCAGAAAGAGCCTTCTGAATCATCTCCACCATGGACTGATGATAGGTAATCTGAGCTAGAGAATGAGTAAGCTGCTGCAATAGAAGATCTCTAGGAACAGACACAAGTAGGTTAGAAGTGTTGTCAACATGAGGTGCAACACCCTCAGTACCAATGTTATTTTGACCTGATTCAGTTGAGAGAAAATCATCTCCATTCCAGGGAAGATCTTGAACATGAGGAGCTCTCAGAAAATTTTGAGACACAGTGATCATGCCTTGTGGAGTGTGGAGATATTCCGAGTCATCTTGGCCCAAATTTTGAAAGAGTAAAATGGAGTAAATGAGAGAAGGATAAGGAAGATGAGTGGAGGGTGAAATTTTCTGGGCAAGATGACCAATAGTATCAAAGAACAGTTTACCAAAATCCACTGGTAATCCCATCCCCAATTTGTACATGAGTACAGCATGAGGTTTTGTTACCACAGAGACATTTTTGGATGGAATCCAATTCATCACTGTGAGTCTAAATAAGACAGAGTAAAAAGCAGTGAGTTGAGAGACTTGAAATTTTCTTGGGTGTGCAGGCCAACTTCTTAAACGGTTTCCAGAAATAACTTTGCAAATCTCAGTAAAATCACCATAATTATCCTCATCAATCACAGTAGGAGTTTGCAAATGAGAGTTGATAATTTTGGGAGAAAATGAATAGATGGCATTGCGCACAAACACTTTACCAAAATTTGGAGAGTTTTTCTTTAAAAATGAGGTTTGCAAGTTGGCATAAAACTCCTTCACAACCAAGGGATCATAAGAGCAGGCAATCTCAACTAGGTTAAGGATTTTTCTTTGGTGAAGAAAAGCTGTTATCCTATGCCTATCAAATTCTTCCTTAGAAATTTTCTTTTCCTCAATGAAATGACAATTCATGACTTGAGGACTCAACAGTGAATCAGACTCAAAATAGAAATTAGGACTGAAGGCATTTGTTACCTCAAAAGGGATTGACAAGTTCTTCCCATCCAGGTCTGGTTCTTCTTCTTCTGAGGAATCATCATCTTCTGAATCTTCAAGCTCATCAGGGACATATGCTGGTTCAGGTGATGCAGCACGTGGGGCAACACCTTCTTCCTGTTGAGAAGAGTCTTCAGAGGATTCACTGTCAGAATCAGAGGAAGGCAAATTCTTGCGAAAAGCAGCTAGAGGAACCTCCCAGCTATCATCACTTTTCTCTGGATCTTCAGCCTGAGGAGGAGATGCATCTGCTTGAACTGCTGCTTCTGCTAGGGTTTCCAGAGGATCTCCATGAGGTGCTGATGGAGTTTCTTCTGTGGTGGTGAAGTCTTGAGCATCCACAGATGGAATGTCTACATGCTCTGCTGATGACATTCCAGAGAAATCAGGCATTTCTTCATCCTGATAAGGGGCAGCATCCTCAGCAGCATTCTGAGGAACATTTGCTGAAACAGTAGGTGGAGCAGCATCTTCTGGAGCATGTGCAGCAACACCTTCAGAGACAGGTGCAGCAACACCTTCTGAAATAGGTGCAGCAACACCTTCTGAAACAGGTGCAGCAACACCTTCAGGAACAGAATGTTGAGAGGCTGCTGTTGCCATGCTGGGCTGCGACGTCTCCCCCTGAGTTGATGCTGGGGAAGGTGAGTTGTTGGATGAAGACTCAGAGGAGCTGGAGGACAAGGCTTGAGCCTGTGGTGCAGCAAAGGTAGGATCCCCTGCTTCGTCATCAGTTTCTTCATCTACCAGATGAAGACCTCTTCGTGGGTTTGACTGGACTGGAGTGCGGCCACCTCTGCTTCCTCTTCTTCCACCTCTGCTTCCTCTCCGGGGAGAGTTTTCTCCTCTTCGGCGTTGTGGCACCGCAGTGTTCAGATCTGGAAAAGGGTTCGTGCGCTTTGACCGGCGCGTTGGAAATCTTCCGGCGGTGGAAGAGGGACCCGCAAAATCAAAGTTGTCTGGGTCAATCGGGTTCAGCTCGTCGCCGGGCTCAATGTAGCTGATAGGAACAGCTTCAAAGTTGATTGGATGAACGATGATGGCCAGATTTGGGTCTGCTGGTACAGGTGCTGCAGCATCGTTGTGGACATCACCATCGACGGCTGGAGGAGGATTTCTAGGTGGGGATGCCATGATACAGTAGATAAAGTAAAATTGCTTCTTTGTGCTTTTGATTTTTGAGTGTGAATTTTGTGAGAAGAAGCACGAAATTTATAAGCCCTAATTTTTGCTGAAGAAAAAAGGAAAAAATTGAAGTGGAGAAGGTGAAGAAGTGGTGTCCGTTTTTCTTGGGGAGAGTGTGATTAAGGAGAATAAAATTTCCTTGGCAGTTTAAAGTAAAAACGTGACACATGGCACAATAAGGAGTGGACTTAGTGGAAAATAAGGAATTAACCCATGTACCCATGACCCATATAAATAGAGATAATTCAAAATAAAAATAAAAATAAAAATAAAGCCGTAGCACTCATGAAATATTCACACAAATAGAAAAACACATTTATTAATGAATAATAGTGAGAGAAATTTGCTGACAGGCATAGATACAATTATGTATATATATATTTATTTATTTATTTAATTTTTTTTTTTTTTTTTTTTTTTTTTTTTAAATATATATATATATAAACTCTTATTTTCAAGTCAAACAATTCACATGGAACATGATCAAATGTTCAGTTTGAAGGTTCCTCAGTTACTAAGATATGACTATCAAAATAGAGGAGTTTGACTTATGTGAGTGTAATTATTTGGCTAAATGTTTACATGAAGCATGATCACGTTTCAAGGTGAAAGACTTCCAGTTACTGATTTAGAAAATAATACATCACAGTGAAGTCATTATTTAATGAAGCTAATGCTTCAGTAAATTGTGTTGCAGCTTAAGATATTTGATGAGGTGCTGCAACACATTTCAGGACATGTTTATTGAGTACACATCCCGAGAGTTTTTCTGAGTTTTGAAAACCTCTCATAATCTAGTGCCTTTGTAAAGATGTCAGCCAGCTGATCTTCTGTAGGAATGTACTTTAAGCACACTATATTTTTCTCAACTATATCACGAATAAAATGATGTTTAATATCTATGTGTTTAGTTCGTGAGTGTTGAACGGGATTTTTTGAAATGTCAATAGCACTTGAATTATCACAATATATGGTCAGGGTATCACTGGTTAACCCATAATCTCCCAACATTTGTTTCATCCAAATTAGTTGACCACAACACCCTCCAGCAGCTACATATTCTGATTCAGCTGTTGAAAGAGATACACAGTTTTGCTTTCTACTAAACCAAGAAACTAGATTATTCCCCAAAAAGAAACATGCACCTGATGTGCTTTTTCTGTCACTAATATCCCCAGCCCAATCAGAATCACTAAAGCCTATCAAGTTTGTATTTGTGTCTTTGAAAAACTGAATCCCTAAGTCTACTGTACCTGCAACATACCTAATAATCCTCTTCACAGCTTTAAGATGGGTGACACTACTAGAAAAATAACTTTTAATGACACCTTAATGATGCAATGATATGACGCTTTAACAAAAAAGTCACCACAACTAATCTATTATGACGCCATGAGTTAAACCCGCATTACTAGTTGAATATTTTATTTTGTACTTATTTTATTAATTCTTAAAAAATAACAAATATGACGCTTTTGTACTTATTTTGTCACAATAGACTCGTTATGTTGTGGCATTTTTTATCAAATGTCATGATATGTTTTATTAATCGTCCTTAATATACTAAAATATTTAGCGGCCAAATAAATCCACTATATTTATTTATTTATTAAGAAAAATCATCTTCTCCTCATCGAGATCTTAGGCTTTCGGCTGTAGAAATCTTAAACCCCCATTTTCCCCTATATCGGCCCCTCTTCTCTTCTCAATACCTAGATTCGCCCTCAAATTTTCTCCTTTGCCGCGGAATTGATTCTTAACGAAGTATATCCTATGAATCTCAGAAACGGTAAACCTAGATTTTCAGATTAGGATTTTATTTTTTCTTGATAAAAGAGTTGGATATGGATTTTTGGTGAATCGTCAAATTGACGCTTGTTCCCTTTTACCCATAGTTAGGCACACACAATGGAGAATTTCGATTTCGATTCGGTGGAAAGAAGATGGATTAATGCTGGTAAAATCTCTCTCTTTCTCTCTCTCCCTCTCTCTCTCTCGTAAAGTCACAGTACATTTATTTCTTGGCCTTCTTTATGTTTTTCCAAAAGATAGAATAAATTGGAATAGTCATATTGAAATCCAAGAATTTATTGGGGTGCGAGTGCAATCCAAGAATATATTAGCTTTCCGGTTAGGAAATAATTCTGAGGTTTTGATGCATGCTTAACATTTAAGGTTGGTTTTTCTCTAATGCTATATCAAATTTCGAGGGTTTGATTTGTATTTCTGTGAAGAGAATTTTTATTTATTATTATTTATTGCTATATGGAATTTTACCATGGCAGAAAGATAGTAACTGAGTGTTGTGTATGTATATTTATAGCTAATAGGTGAATGTGCTTGGTGTATTTTTATTAACTAAAGAAGATGTGGATTTGGACTACATAAAATGTGTTCCTATGCTTAGCTTTATCACTTTTTCTTTCAAAACAATGTGTTATAAAGTTATATGTATAACTTCTGATGATTTGATTGTATATGATAGGTTTCTTAAGGCAAAAGAGACATGAATAATTTGATATGCATTTGGAAATGCTGCGAATCTTGGGTCTGCTTGCAGAAGCCGTAAACTAGTTTCTCAAGGAGACTGTAATTCACATACATATATATAAATATATATAATATCTACGAATTGTTTCTCTTGAGTATGTTCTCCTTGTTGGATTATCAACAACTTTTATTGTAATTTACACTACTTTCAGATCGAAGCAAAGTTTGGTTCTTTTATTGGTATAATGATAATTTCAGGTTGAAGAAAGGTTTGGTTCCTTTATTCGAACAAGAAAATCGTGACTGAATCTGTTAAAGATGGTGTTGATTGCTCCAAGAATCTACAAAGCCAAGCACTACAGGTAACATTTTATAGATTTTATAATTGCCATTTTTATGTGTTTTTAATCGAAGATTTTGTAATGAGGTCCTGTTATGCAGCCTTAGTCCGTACATCATGTAAGTTCAATATATGTGCTTTTAATCTAAGGTTCTAATATTTTTTTTGCAAAGTGCAATCATTTTATATTTTAATTTCTGCAGTAACGGGAAGGAAGGGAATGACTTGTAAGACAGTAAGACTATATGCTCTAGAATATGTCAGATTTTTTTTTTTCAATCTTTCAGTCGCTTCATAACTTCATTCTACTCGTTACATTACTCTCATTAATCCCATTTATCTCGACTAGGACATCAAAAAGGTCATCAAAAGGCTGCAAAGTTCTTCTGAAGTGGGAGATGGAGGGATGTCGCAGTAACATGACAATCCGTTGAAAACCAGCCAGTCGAATTAGATGTAACAATTTAATTACACTATTAATAGGAAGGTTTCTTTTTTTATATTTTAAATTAGATTAGATGTGGAATAATTTTTATTTAAATAGTTATGTTATTTTGAACCATTGAAATGATTAACCTTCAATACAGAACACATTTTGGTGTATATATGTCTGTAAATGTTTTTTTTTTGTTCGTTGATATTTAATTTTTTATTTATATGATGAGCAACAGTTTAATGTATATTAGATTGATGTAAAAACAAGTGTGAATTATCACATAATAAAGTTATTGGGACGTGTAACAAACAGAATTGAGAGCTTAATATCGTCATTATATATCTATATTGTGACGCTACAAAGTGTCGTAAAAATAGGTAGTTATAGCAGTTCAAAATTAATTACATGACGCATACAAGCGTCACAAAAAATCTGTTATCAGGACGCGTCAAGGCGTCGCATAGTGTGGCTGTTGAGACGCTCCTTCCGTCACCAAAAGATATTATGACGGCCACCTATGTGACGTTTTTGTTCGGCGTCACAACAACCAAAGCGTCACAAAAGGTCGATATAGTGACATTTTGAGGCGTCATAATAACCAGTTTTTGTAGTAGTGTGACCTTGGGATTTGCTTGATATCTGGCACACACACAAACACTAAACATAATGTCAGGCCTGCTTGCTGTTAGATACAGAAGGCTTCCAATCATGCTTCTGTAGAGAGTGCTGTCGACATCTTTTGCAACATCATCCTTAGACAGTTTTTGGCTGGAACCCATTGGAGTTTTCATGTGCTTGGCTGATTCCAACTCTACCACACTTTTGACCAGATTGAAGG